TGTTCTTACAGCGTTTCAAGTGCTGATTTTAAAGCTCTGGCAAATCATAGGGAAGAGACTGAAAGTCATTGATTTCCATTGGAGAGTTCCACGGGAGCTCTCTGATAATATTTTACTTAATATCCTAATGATTTTTGGCATAAGAGAAAAATGGATAATTTTGACCCATACAATGTATTGTTGGCTATTGCTACAAATATACCCCAGCGACTTAAGACTGCTTTTGTGCTCCAGGGTCACAATTATTAAATATAAAATAATGATACAATTATTTCATAATTATTTTACAAATTACAAAATAATTATTTACATTGATGAGCACATATTTAAACCATCATATTTTTCCTTTAAATGTTTTGCAGGTCATTTGTCCTGTGTGGATAAATATTCACTGATTAGTGAATAAGCGGAGGGTAAATGCTCTTGCTGTTGCACTTCATGACCGATTTAAGAGATCAGACTGTCATTAACGGATAAAATGTGACTGTTTATGCAGTGAAAAAGTGGCTTATGGTACGGTGTCATTTTAAAAACTATTCAACCTCTGACACACATTTACATATGAAAGAGCATAATGAGTATTTATATAATTAATGGGGTTTTCATGCATATTCTGTTCGATTCTCTCACTCAATTTTTAATGCAAAAACACTATGAATGGAACCGAATCACAGACCCTCAAGCGGACACTTTAGTGTGGTTCCTCTAGAAAACTTTCAACAGCTTTCAGACTTTACACACACACACACTCACTCTGATGCCACGGTGAATGAATCCGCGTCTGAATCGAGCGGGTTTGAGGTGTGGATACTCCTCAGTGCTGGTCACTCTGATGTCCCACACGCGCTTCCAGGCCTCGTACAGCTGGATGTGGACGGGATACACGCCGGAGTGATGAGGAGCCACCGCATAACCCAGATGAGTCGGGATAGAGTGATCCTACAAGACAAACACCCGATGAAACATCACTCCAGACCTCTCTCTGTGTGTGTGTGTGTGTGTGTGTGCGTCTGACCTCAGCGAAGTGTGTGTGTGTGTGTGTGTGCGCGCGAGCGAGAGAGAGAGAGAATAATGTTCTTTTTAGCAGCATCATATGACCCCTTTAAAGTTACGTTGTTTAATTTTTCATATTTGTTCATAAAAAAATTATATATATAGTGCACAGCATAAATGAGTACACCCCCTCTAAAACAATTATTATATAATTTATATATATATGTGTGTGTGTGTGTAAATTATGGAATGTATTAGTATTAATTTTGTAATAATTATGGGTTTAAATATTGATATATAAATATTTATTTAAAATAAAATAAATGTATATATTTCAAAATTAATACCTATACATTCCCATTACTATAATACACACATTCATCCAATCAAGACTCCTCAAAAGCTGATCTTGTGTGGTTTTCACTCACCTGCGTGGAAGAACTTCCCCGAGAAGCCCAGGTTAAAGGTGAAATCTGGAATCGATCTGCGCAGCTCATTCTGAGTTTCAACCAACGCCTGAGAAGATCCACACATTATTCATGATATTCACACGTCTACACATCTGATGTCTCCAAATGTAGACATAAGAAAGTGTCTGTGAAGGAAAGTTTGTTAGATTTCTCTCATTTCTGAAGATAAAATAGAGGAAACACACACACACACACACACACAGTAGAATCCATAATTTCATCAGATGTGTCGGACATCTCATCTCTCAGTCTGAAGTCTTTTTTTTTTTTCCTGTGGTTTGCGTTCATCATCAGATGTTTGTTTGCATGATTCAAATGACTGTATTTACTCTGAGCTTCATCACACTCATCTACACACATCAAACACACTCACAACTACAAACAGCATGTTTATGTGGCAAGTGAATAAAACCATTTCATTAAACTCTTCTTTCCTGCAGTGAACAAACACACAATCAGACTTACACACACAAAAGTTTGTTTTACTACCTTATTGAGGACATTACATTGAATTGCATTGTCTTCCACTGATTTTAAAATCAAGTTAATGATGTTAATCTTGTATTGTGGCATTATTTTCATGGTAAATCCATCACTGATTCTCATTACTGTTGCATACAAAAGTAAATAAATTAAATAATAATTTTGTTGTCTTCTTTAAAATAATTTCTTATTTAATATAGTGTATATATATATATATATATATATATTATTAATGTTTAAAAAATATTAAATATTTTACAGTTAGTGTTAATATTAAATATTTTCCTCCATGTCATGTGACCATTGACCGACATCAGAGAACTGTGAACATGCAAATGTTTTGTTAAATTATTTTGAAATATTAACTTAAAATCTCAGGGGGATTTCAAGAAAACGTCACTCAAAGGGTTTCAGCTGACAAAGTTCGGGACAGTAAACTTCAAACAGCGGAAACGACTAATAATTTTCAGTGATGATTCTCATTAGATTCCAATTACTGTAATAATGAGTGTAAAATACCTGGATGCATCACAGTCATGAGAATTTGGAGGGTAAATGTGTTCAACTGTCATCAAAATAGGCTTAATTTTCTTTATACAAAGTATAATTTCTTATTTCTTTTCCCCTTTGAGGTGAAATATAATCCGGATGTGTTTTGATGAGATTTTCCCAGATATCTTTTTTTGTGTTGCATGAAAAAAAACATTAAATTCTTGTGATTTCCCAATCACATTAGCTCTATTTTCCCATAGTTTCTTTACTTTCCCAGAGGCAAAAAGTCAAAAACAATCGATGTATCTCTTTAACACACCTTCACATCTGCCACCTTCATCCTGGTCCCTTCCTTTCCCACAAATATATCATCGATGTCCACCAGTATGAAGCGCTCGAGGGACAGAGACAGTCTCTTAGCGGTGAGGAAGGACAGCGCGTCCACAAACACCAGCTTGTGTAGCCAGAAGGAGAGGTTGTGTCCGAACAAAACCCTCTGAATCCCATCATGAAGCCCGAGATCCTGAACCACGGAAGTGTGCATGAGTCCAGTGCTCTCAGCCGAACGGGTTTTAGCCAGCAGAACCGGCTCGTAGGTGGAGTGATTGGACTGGAAGACGGTCCAGTTGTCCCCGGGGAGAGGACCGCTAAACACCTGAGACATAAAAAGAAACGCTGTATTTGGGAGTGAAGCTTCTACAGAAGCCCTGAACCACAACGTGAAAAACAAGAGAACAAATCGTAGGACTTGAGCTCATGAAGGCTCAGGTTGGGGGTCAGGCCTTGGCTAAGTTTGAGCGGATGAGCATTAAAGCATGAGCTGACCTGTCGCGCTCGTGTGACGTGCAGCAGAGGGGATTTGGGGTTGACGGTACAGTCCTTCAGGCCCAGGTTGGAGTGCAGAAACAGAGGGAATCCTTTCAGCTGCGCACTCAACAGACTCTTCTCATTGGCCTGACGGGACAGACAGGAAGTGACATCTCACAATCTGACACACATGCTGCGCTCCAGCCAGAGTCTGATCCCAGATATTCATACTAGATATCTCACTCCACCAACCATAAAGTTGCACAGCAAGATGCTCAAAAAATAAAGTATAAAGAAAATAGCAATGCAATCAAGAAAGACTGCTTTTGCTGGTTAACTGCTTAGTTAATATCATAACTACAGCATTCTGACACACATCTTTCTCAGTCAACGGACATTTACAAGTGTCTGTGTAGTTTAACAAAATAAAATGAACAATATATATATATATTTTATGATTTAACTATAAATGAAAATAAATATTAATAAATAACAATATAAATGAATACACAAATAAATACATAAACACATAAAAATGCATAAATACATAAAATATGTAACTAAATAAATAAAAACAAAGGAACAAACAAATTAATATAAACCCACATTTAGATATTAAATAAAAAAATAACGAAATAAATGTAAATAAAATTACAAATTTAAATCAATCAAATCAATCAAATCAATCAAATAGAGATGCCTTATATTTGCTCTGCCTGCTGTCTGTAACGTCAAGAACATCTCTAGCTCTAGCTTTGAGACTACTGGATCACATTCTCCAGGTTTTAAAAACCTCACTGCTTATGGCAGGGCACTGTTCCCAGCAGGAAGTTGGTAATTCAGACTCTGAGCTGATGGAGTGATATAGAGTGGCTCACCTTAAAGAAGCCGATCATTCCCACTCCAAACTCGATACAGTATCTGTCCAGTAACTCTCTGTTCCAGGCGTCCATGTTCACATACTTCAGGATGTTTTCGTAGACGATGAGCACAAAGCGGCCCCGCTGTCCGTCTGTTAACGTGGGCATGTCTCCTTTTCCGGGAGAGATTTCCGTCCGGTAGCGGAACCTCGCCGACTCCAGGATGGCCACGATCTCCTGTCCGAGCTGCGAATACGGACTCTCCACGAACACCAGCACGACCGGATCAGTCCGGGAGCCATCGGACGACAGTGTCCCGCCCACTCCAGACAGGAAGGGGAGGGGCCGAGACGGGGTCACGTAGAGGTCATCGGCCGAGCGTCCTGCTGCGAGCGACGGTTCCAGCTTTTGTTTGACGGCATACAGGAAGTAGGAAGAGAGGAAGACACTGAGGATGCACAGGAGGAAGAGGAAGATGAAGCTGGTCTGTAGCGGCACCTGGCGAACGAGACGGCGCAGGCGGAGCACACTGAGCATCACACAAACAAATTTAAAAAAAAAAACAGCTGAAGGAAGGAACACCAATGGATAAAGTTCAGTCTACATGTTTGGGACGTAAAACGAGTGCAACGGAAATGTCTCTGCGCTTTTATGTGACCATCGCTGAACTGAAGAGAGGAGGCGGAGCTCTGAATGAGACTGGATGTCTCGTCTGGCAGTCATCAGACCGACTCCGCCCTCTTGCCCACTTTTGATTGGTCACAAACTGCTGACGGGGGCCGGCTCTGCTGTGATTGACAGATAATCATCACTACAGTCTCCCAGTGGACACCTGCACACCTGAAAGACATGAGTATGAATATTCATGAAAAAAAGGAAGAATCAAAAGTGAGGTGAGATATTTTACAAGATATTACTTGAATGATTTATCAAAATAAAATAAGTACAAATAAATAAAATCTCAAACAAATGCATCTCCACACAGTACAGTTGTGCTGTAAATAAAATTATTATTATTACTTTACAGTGAAAAAAATACAAAAGTAATACTTCTAGCATAAAAAGATAACATTATAATTATTATTGTTATTATTAAATAAAGTTAAAGGAAATTGTAATATTTAAATGTAAAATATAAGAATAAAAATAACATTATTATTATTATTAAATAAAATATTAAAATATATATATTTCTGTTGTAATATTTCACTGTAAAAGTTAACAATATCACATTATATAACATTATTGTTAAATAAACTATTAAAAAGCTATATTACTATAGTAATATTTCACTGCAAAAAAGTACTTTTGAAAAAATTATAACCTTATTATTAAATAAAATTTATAAAAGAAATTGTAATATTTCACAGTAA